ATACGTGCATCACGAACTAGCTCAAAAATTGTATCTACTAAAGGATTGGGGCGCAAACTCTACTCCTGCACTGCACTAGCAAGGATAGTATATGAACTGGCCACAACCACTGGCTCACCCACAGTACGCGACTCAACAACAATTTGTATAGGAGAAACTGAGGCGAACTCCCCAGCGATAGCAACTATAACCCTAGAGGAAGGAACATAGGTAACAACATTTGTCACTCCCCTAAAGGATACTCTAACCTGCTCAGTGCTTCTGGGAGGAACAGTAGGGGCTGGGGCTCTCTGACTGGGTGCCCCCTCCTATGGTCTAGTCCTCTACTAGCCATCACCTCGACCATTCTATGGTCATTCTCCATTGACCTTCTCCCAGTGTTGGGAGTGGGTGATGCAGGTCTCCACTGAATGACCTAAATGCCGACACCCAGAACAATACTACGATACATCCTCGTAGAGCACATCCTGCCAAAATTCGATCTTCTGTCTGCCTATCCTAATCCTCAGCACCCACCGCTATGTGACATCATAATCAATTAGCACCATGACAACTGAAGGCCGACTTAAACTTGCTATGGCCTGATCAACCCGTAAAGGTGTCCCAATCGCCTAAGCTATCGAGAATAATGCATCTTGGGAGCGCACAAAGTGGACTAGTAAATATGGAAATGAGACTCAGATAAGAACTATGGGCAACTCCTCGGTACAATGAAACTACAGAGTCCACTTGAACATGTGCATCTCTCTGCCATAAATCGACCAAGCCGGCTTCACCTAGATACAGGTGTAATCCTCCTCAAGGTCGCATATCAGGAGCATGTGTTGGCTATATGATGAGTGACTTTTATACCTACGAATTGAGTATGTTCGACTTGATGAAATTATAAGTTTTCAAATATTTTATGCTCTTTTTTGTTTATTTTGTGTGTTTTGATGTTATTTTGTAGGGATCATCATTTGAAAGAAAACAAGATCATTTGAAAAGAAACAAGGTCAATTTGGAGTCTAAGTGTTAGATTTTTGAAGACTAAGTAAAAAGGGAAGCTTTAGGCTTAAAATGGGAGAGTGCCTAACTAGCTCCTAGGCGCTTGAAAAGCAATAACTCAGCGCCCTTGTGCTGGTTTTAGGCGCCTAGGCGCTTGTGTTGGCTCTGGATGCAAATTCTGATTTATTTTTTACCCAAAATTGAACTTTAAGGCTACATATATGCTAGGGTTTGAGTTGAACCGGGGAGATACTGATTTTGGGGGTTGTTAACATAAGAAAAGACCAAGGATTAAAAGAAAATTGAAGACAAGAATCGAAGGAATCGACACAAAGAAGATTGGACTTTAAGGCTAGAGAGAGATTGAAGATTGCAACAAAATTTTCATTCTTTTCTCTTTCTTTTACTTCTTGATTTTCTGAGATGTTGTTTAATTTTAGAATGATGTTTTTTAATTACATTATGAACTAAATTCTTATTAAGGTTGCAACGGAACCTAATGTCTAGTTAAATTGATCTACTCTTGTTTCTAGTTCTATTGATCATATATGAGTTATTTTTTAGCTTTTGTGTTTAATATATGATTGTGTAGTGAGCAATTAATTTGATAACCCAGATAAAATTGGGAGATAAATTCTAGGTTTAGATCTAAATATGATGACATGTGTTTTGTTAATTCTTCTTAGGATTGAATAGTTGCGTTTGTGTAAAGGAAAAGAATATACTTATAAGTCAAGTGTAACTTTTATGAGAGTTTAAATTTAATGAATCTATTCTAACTTATTTTGTATAGAAATATAGTAATTTAATTGAGAGAGATAATTTTATCTAACTATCAGAAGAGATTTGATAAATAACTTTAAGTTATCAGTTAACAACTTATTTTGATCAATTAACTGGAAAATGAGTTAGAAAGATTTATATGAAGCATTAGAAGAAGTTGTAATCTTAACTTCTTTTATCCTGTAAATTTAGCCCTTGATTATTAAGTTTAGATTTAGTTTTAAAGTAGTGATTTCATAGTTCACTTCCAATTATTTAAATAAAATTGAATTGATATAAAGTTAGTATTTAGAATTTATTAGTAATAATTCTCGGTGGGAACAATACTCTACTTATCACTTTATTACTTGTTAATTGTGTATACTTGCACGCAAATTTTTAATATTAAATTCAGACAACACTATCTACTTGCCCTATCCATCTAATCAGCTGAATGAAGCTCTTGATCATTTCCATTAGAGGGTAGCCTCAGATAAACTTGCCCATCAGGGCCAATCTAAAAAAAGCTGCGAGACTCTCAATCTCCTCATCACGAAAGTCAACTGCGGAGACACCCATATACTGTGTGACAGGGTTGGGAACTCAACGGGTGGGAGCATCGGGGCCAAGGGTGGCAAATCCCCTCAAAACATCTATGAATGACTTTCTTGGCCAGGTCAGATTTGGGACGGAATTGGGGGTCGGGTCCAAGAATTATGGATTGTGGGTATGACTAGTTTGGGAGCAGCAAGTTGTCTTGGGTTTCCGCCGGGTTGGTGTTTAGCTTGAAGAGGTTGGCAAATGGTATTAGTTGTGGGAAGTGGGCCGGGTTTGAGGATGGGATGGGCAGGTTGAGAAATGGGCCGAGTTTGTTTATAAGTGTAACTTGCGGGCTCAATGTGATGTAAGTTGCTAGTAGTGGGATGGTGGATAACTCCGCCAGTATAAAGTGTGTGCACCGGGAGGGGGAGGATCGGGTGGTGAGTTTAGGTCGGCGATTAGGTCATCACTGGCATCCAGATTGGCCATGGGGCACGTTGATTGATTGGTGGCAGGTGTTCGGTGCCCTGGATTGATGTCCTAGTTGTGTGGTTGTTCGCTGGGTAGTGGGCAGTCAGTGGGGTGAGTACTGGAATGGGCAGTCAGTTGGGTTGCAGGCTGGTATTACTGCTGGGTGGGTGGCTGTTGGGTTGGGCAGTAGAATTGGTTGGGTTGGGGCAGTGAAGGTGGCGTGGAAGAGGGGCTAGGGTTAGGGTTAATTACATGAAATCCAATTGGCTGTCGGTGGGTATTGTGTAGTCGATGGCTTTATCAGATTTTATTTTGGCTTTGGTTTTGGTTTCACTGGTGTATGGATGGGTATTGTGAAATCAGTGGTTTTGGTTTTGTTGACTGTAATGGATTGGCAGTCGGTGAAGGTGGAGTGGCTTTGGTGTATGTCGGTCGGTTGCTTAGAGGTAATTGCAGGTCGCTGGTTATGTTCAGTTTGGGATAGGTGGAGTGTATATAGCTGGTTTTTTAAATGAAAAATCACCAAGAATTTGGCTGGAGAAGATGAATGGCAGCCGCCTGAGAACAGTAACGGTAGAAAAGGACGACAGGCAGCCCCCAAACCCTAACTTTCTCAACGGCAGGAAAACCTCCGATTGTACAATTTTCAACATTGGAAAACACAGATGGAGTTGTTTTTTAAGATTATAGATTTTTTAGATATTGTGACAAACGGATTCATAGATCTCAAAAATCTACCAACTCACACAGAAGCTCAAAAAGATGAATTGGTAATTAATCGAAAAAAAGACATCAGAGCATTGATGTATATTTATAGAGCAATTGATTCGTCAATTTATGACAAGATTGTTCATGTTTGACGGTAAAGGCGACATGGGGATGTCTTGATCAATTTTTATATTGGACAAGATAAGGTGAAAAAGGTTCAGTTGAAAATGAAACCTTTTTGGACTGTTTGAGCTTATTCAAATGAAAAAATTAGAGAGTATATCTGATTATTTTTCATGGACGTTAGTTATTGTCAATCGGATGAGAGCTAACGACAAAGATGTGAAGGATACCATGGAGAAAATTCTTCGGACCTTATCAATGAGGTTCAAGTATATTGTCACAGCTATCATGGAGTCAAAGGAAAATGTAAAATTTCTATCAAGTTAAAAGATGAGTCTTTGAATGCTAATTCAAATGTTTATTATGTACCTAATCTTAGCCACAATTTATTGAGTATGTGACAATTGTCAGAAAAGGGTATGATATGAGAATTTTTAATGGTGTTTGTACAATCAATGACAGCCGATGGAGACTAATAGTAAAGGTAAATATGACACCCAATCGTTTATTTCATTTACAAATTAATTGTCAAAATTTACCTTTAGTTCTGAAATTTTTGAGGATAATTGGTTGTGGCATATGTGATTTGGGCATGTAAATTTTCATAGTTTAAATTTTCTTGCCCAAAAAAAATTGGTTTTTTGTTTGCCTGCTATTAAGATTCTTAGTCAAGTTTGTGAAACTTTTGTTTTGAGAAAAAACCAACGAGACCCTTTTCCTGATAAACAAGTTTGGCATGCAAAAAAATCCGTTGATTTGATTCATTTTGATTTGTGTTATGTTGAAGTTCCTTCCAATAGTGGGAGTAGGTAATTTATTACTTTTATTGATGATTTTAGTCAAAAAAAAACCTGGGTGTATGGAAGGAGGGGGTATCAAATTGCATATACTTTTACCAAGTCACTTTAAATCCGATGTATTCATGAAGCTTAATCAGATAATGGGGATGATAAAGGGGATGATTAAAGAGTTTGGTTCAAGGGAGGCTGTTGGAGTTTGACCAAAACTCTCTCCAAGTGTTTTATTTTGAGCTTTTCCCCAAATCTAGTCTTTCCACGAACTTTATTTTCAAACTCAGTCAACTTTAAACTTATTTCTTAAATTCAGTTTGTTTTTGAAAATGTCATTTAGAATAACTCATTCATAGGTTAAAACGTCATTTAAAATGACGATTTCAAATTAAAATTTTTTTTATTTAAATTGTCATTTAGAATAACCTCTTTAAAAACATCAATGAGAATGACGTTAAAAAAATGAATTAAAAATAGTAACATAACAGACGTTAAAAAAATTAGTGGGTAAAAAATATCATTAAAAATGACGTTTTTAAAAACACCTTTTAAAATGACATTTTTAAAAATGTCATTTCAATTGACCTTTTAAAAAATGTGTTAAAAAAAAATATCCAGCCACTCCTCTGACCAGGAAGTTAAAAAATGTACAAACACACTGATACGTGCCTTTCGTCTACCCACCACCCAAAATCAAAGAGCTTTACCCAAACCTAGCCACTCCTCCTCCAACCAGGAAGATCGCTTCGGCTCAGTAGCTTCGAGGAAGAACGCTCTCTCCTCCTCCTCCAACCACACAGCCACCGTCTTCTCCGACGAGGAAGACCAGTGTGACGAAGACCAGTCCGACGAGGAAGACTAATCTGACAAAGAAGACCACTCCGGCTCAGTTTCTTAACTACGGCAATTTTGTCTTCTCCCTCTCTGCCCTCTTCCTCCTCTACCCCAACGCAGAATCCCCATATACACAACTGTTTGTTAAAATGATGCACATCAACTATCTGTTAAAATGCCTAATACACGTAGCCTTCAATTTTCTGTTTGGGTATGTATAGGAGATCCTTAACCAGAATTTCCATGGTGAGGAAGAAGGGCAGCCGCAAACTCTCTTGTATAAGAATCTTTGGCTAGAGTCTGAAGCTGAATTGTGTTCCATTGGTTACACAGCTCGCTTTGAGCGAATGAAAATTGAGATGGACAAAAGCAAGCTAGACAATTCAAAATCCTAAAATGCCGCGATGACAATTCAAATTCCATAAATATGGCGGGGAAACAACTGCCAGAGGTTGTTGATGCTGGATTTGCAGGTAAGGGATACTGTTGGCCATTTTCTGAATACCAACAAGAGGATGGATGCTTGGATGTGGGTGTGGGACCTCCTTATCTGCAGCATGACACTGGGAATGGTTGTGATGACAAATTTGGGTCATACAGAGATGGTTCTGATCATGGTAATGTCAGAGAGTTCCGCGTGTCTGCCAAGGATGACTCAGTGATTCAATCTTACAAGAACAGTGGGCTGACTACTCAACGTTCTTCTGGGTGGTATGACAGCTCTTCATCAGATTGGGAACATGTGCTGAAGGACGAGTTTACATGGCGAAAATGATGGAATTATATCTACAAGAGTATTCCTGAAGATGTAAATAGTTTCTGTGTTTCGGTTTTATGCCTAGTGGACATGTAAAATTCCAACTGATGTATATTTGTGTAAGTAGGAGATTATCTATAAACTAGTCAAAAGCTTTTGATCTTTGTTTTCAGGAGTTATCCGTACTTATAAATTTCATTGTTCCATGTCAGTGCAAACTACATTGTTTCCTATTTGTGATCAGATGAAGAAGCTCCCGATGGGATCAACCTCGAGTGATTGCAGGAGATAACAAAACTGATTTCAGTTTATTTGATTGTCAAAATCTCCAAGAAACAAGAATGGGAAAAAGATCACGAACGAGTCGAGTTAAAAAATTCTACAAGCTTTGGTTTGATCTATTGCAACGTAGCTAGCAATGAGTTTACTACAGTGAACCTGTTAAAGAACAGATGCCGTGTCTTGCCATCATACCATGACTATCAGAAGATATGGAGAGCCAAATTAAGTTAGTTTTTTTTTTTTAACTTGTATAAATTGGTACATCACTGGAGTAATCCTAATTCCAATTATTAAAAGTCTAAGTCTTCTATGCACTACTTTTCCAATGAATGCCAGCTCATATTATGCATTAAATCTCTAGGGCGACCTCTGACAACTTTTTGGGCTTTCTATACTTCTTTTTACACATTTTTTAAAACGTCACTTTGCAATGGTTTTTTTAAAAAAGTCATTTCAAGTGATATTTTTTATTCACTAATTTTTTTAACATTTATTTAATGCTACAAATGAGCATATTGTATAAGAATTCTAATGTTATAAAGTTGAAGAAAAATAAAACCATAATATTTGATAAAAAAAAATGATAAAAAGATGTAACTTTTGATTATAAATGAACTTTCTTTGTCAATCAAATCGCATAAGCTAACCTTTATAACAAAAGATAACTTCACTTAGATTAAATCAAAATCAAAATAATGTAAATATAAAATTTAGAAAATTTTCAACAACCTAGAAAACTCAACACCTTTTTATCCACCGTACATTAGCATTGTACAGTGTAGAATCAGAAGAAAAAAAAAAAAGAAGTAAGAGAGTCAAATAAGAAAGATAATATGTACACACAAAAGGCGTAGTGTAATTTATTCTTAATTTTGAAGGTAATAGCATAGAAACAAAGAAGCAATAGGATAAGTAAATATAATAATATATTTATGTAAGATTGACAATTATATAAATGAAAAGGTCATTAATGAAAAAAGAGACTGTTGGCTGTAAAAATTTATCTTTGGCTTAAATATAATGAAAAAAATGACATGTTTTCTATATTTGTTCTGAGAATCAATTTTACATTTCTTCAATAGACCCTTTATAATGAAAATTAGATAGATTTCTTTGTTTTTAACTTTTCACAATTCAGATCGCTTGAAAAATATTGATCCAACGATCCTAATGCAAAATTCTCCCCCTAATTTTTTGAGAAAGATTTCATTCCTTCCACAATTCTAAGATTTATCTCTCTCTTATAACTCTCTATTTTTCTCTATCTCATTCTACACATTAATTAGGTTTTTAATTATGATTCTAATTAAAGATTATTTTTAAAAATTTCAAATAAACAAATGAACCTTAAGTATAGATTCTTTGCGTTAAAACGAGTCGAATGACTATAATATATGTCATATTTTATATTGAAATAAAAATATTATAATATTCGAATGGTATAATAGACGAATAATATATATATATAATTTGTTATATATCTATATACTAAAGGAGCTAGCATTATTTGTTTTGAGCTTTTCGTGGCTCAAATTGTTTTAAAATTATTGATCAAACGATCGAAATTCCTTCTCCAAATTTTTTTCCACCCAAAAATTATAAAAATTCTTTCATTTTACTCAATTATTGGTTCGAATTGATTTTGATTAAGATTTAAATTGAACTGAATTTAATTATCGAGTATAAAGTATATTTTCTTGCTTAAACTTAACTTTCCTTAAATTTTACAAGTATTCAAGTTGAAGTCAAATTAAAATTGATTGTAAAAGTAATAAAGAATAATTAAATTAAAAAAAGAAGTTATGGCGTCTCACGGAGCGGATATAGATAAGAATTAGTTTGTAGGTTTAAGATAGAAATGTTCATTGAATTGAACTTAAATTCAATTATCAGTTTGACGTAATTATGATTAAAACTTGAATTGAGCTGAATTTAATTGTCAAGTACAAAGTATAAAATCCTTGCTTAAACTTAAAGGGTGGGGCTATTCCCACCCCCAAATCTTCATTCTCATCCCATTTAATTTCTCATTATCAAATTGCTAAGCCCACCCTTTTTATACTTGCTCTCATAGTTGTTACTATCGCACGATACATTACAATACAAAGGTACATCGATGTGAATCGTAGTGTTATATCGTTTTTGCTTTGCATTATGGGATACACGATACGTTTTTAAAATACGATATGCATCAGTACGATACGAACGAGATGCGCATAAGTTGTTTATTTTTTTTTATTCTTATTTTTTTGTTGGAACGACGTCATTTTGTGTTATAGGCTGATTTTTTTATCCCAATAGCCATTGATTTTTTTATTTTTATTTTTTTGCTGAAACGACGTCGTTTCAGTGGCTAAGATTTACAAAAAAAAAAAAGAAATCTCTCTTCCCTCTTCTCTCTCCATTCTTCGTTTTTTCTTTGCTGTCTTTTGGGAGTTCTTCACGACGAAGAAACACAATTGCCCAAATCTCTCTCTTTTCTCTATTGTTCACAGCGATGAACCCTAGCCCCTCTTTTTATTCCCTCTGTTATGGACGACAACAAAGCTTAGTATTTCTAAGCCCTTTGTGCTTCAAGACGACGAGCCCAGTCTCCGTCTTCTCTCTGTTTTTCATCAAAGATGAAGCTCTGTTCCTCTCAGTGTGTCTAGGCCCACTGTCTCTCTTTTTTTTGTTCTTCATTGACGAAGGCAGAAAAACTTGAGAAGCCATCGGAGCATCCAAGCCAATCACTACCCCTGATCTGGATCTGTAATTGCAGTTGCCTTCTTCTTCTTTTTGCAGCGAGACCTGTGCAGTGTAAGAAATGTTGTTAATTTATTTACAAAGCCAAATATTTTATTTTTTATTTTTTTGTATCAAAATATATGAAACTTGATTCTTGATTAATGTTACTTCTTCATTAATGGATGTTAAAAATTTGGATTAGAAGTCTTTTGGGTATTTGAAGTTTGAACTAGTGAACTATAGTGAGAACTTTGCATTATAATATTAGTAAATTATGTTGATGACTTGAATAGTTGATGGAGTATTAATGAAATGTTATGTTTTTATGAGTCTATAATTTTTTTTCAAATGTATATATATTTTATTATTATTTATTTTAAATTGTACCGTATATTACAATACACTATTTTTAAAAAAGGATACGTCTTTCGATACACGATTTGATAACTATGTCCATCTCATTATTGACTAAGTCATCCTATGCTACGTACACCCCCTTTAAAAGAAAAGAATGAAACAAGGAAAAAAAAGGAAAGAAAGTAGCAAATCAAAACACGAAGGAAAAAAAAAACCAAATAAAGATTATACAAAAAAACAAAACTACAAAAAAAAAAAAAAAAATCACAAGACACAAAACCGGACATGAAAAAAAAAGTATCAAGCACAAACATAAAATCGAACGAGAAAAAAAATAATAAGCATAGATGTAAAACTTAAACAAGATAAAAAAAAAAGAACAAATAATTTGAAAGCATATATACACACACACATATATAAATTCTGAATAAAAAATTATTAAACTTGACAAGATATCAACTTATACAGAACATAATGAAAATCCATACAACAAAAATGAAATCAAACATAGAATTAAATTGAGAAGTAATATCAACATGCATCTCACACTACAAGAAAAATGTTTTATTGCAACAACTTTTTGTGACAAATAAGAAAAATGGTCTCCAAGATTTGACATTCCATGACCAACATTAAAGTTCATCACCAAAAATTATCTTAAAAAAAATTGGCAACAACAATCTATACTTGTCGCTGAATGTGGTTGAAAAAAAATTCCCGCCATTGACCTATTTTGGCGTCAATTGGTGTTTACGTTATGCCGACGAACTTAGTGTTCACAAATTAAATAATGTTTTCATCTTCAACTTTTCATCTACCCAACCTTTCTTGATTTCTTCTTTTATTTTTCTTTTGATTAAATAATCGCTTGTGTGAGATTATTTTTTGAGTGCTTAATATTATTTTAAGATCCTACATGACATATCACAGATTAGAAAATATTTCTTAATAAAATAAATATTTAATGCTACAAATGAGTATTCTGTATAAGAATTCTAATGTTATAAATTTGAAGAAAAATTAAAACCATAATATTTGATAAAAAAAAATGATAAAAACTTATAACTTTTGATTGTAAATGAGCTTTCTTTGTCAATCAAATCACATAAGCTAACCTTTATAACAAAAGATAACTTCACTTAGATTAAATCAAAATCAAAACAATGTAA